CACCCCCTTCACACCTTTAGCCGAAATATAAAAGAAACCCGCCCCAAAAGCTCACAATGAAAGCAGCGCATGCATGACTCGACAACTTGAGGCCCTACTCGATAACGCTTTGCTTCCCCGGGTCCAAATTCGCGACCCACGCACAGGCTGAGAAATCAAGTAGTGTATGTTTATGCACAGTCCACACACAATGCATACACAGTACTGGTGCCATGGTGCTAAGTTATCATTGTTTTCATTCTTGTCGTGGGGGCTCTCGTGGGCTAGAGGTTGCGGAGCTCGTTTCTCATTCAATAGGTCCCGGATCGAGACGGAAAATTTTCTTCTATAGATTGTTCTAATTTCGCACCCTTTCCTGCTCTCTAACAATATTATTATTGTCGCCTGCTTTCGTCTCCACTTTCTGCCCCCACCCCATCACCTCCTTTGTCCTCTCCTCTGGGCTCCTGACACTTTCTGCAGTCATTCTACTGTTACTCCTTGGCTCCTTCTTACTGCTGATTTTTAGCCACACCCTGAACTTATTGTAGGTAAGATCTGTTACCTAACCTTTTCGGACAAGGTCTAAAAATCTCGGAGGCCCATGTTCGCACGTTAAAGATCCTTTGGTGGTCTAAAATCGATAAGAGTGGGCTCTGGCCGCTATCTGGACTTCCAACTGAAAAAATGTTTATGTGTCCCGCGCGCTCAACACCTTAAGCAGTTGCGAGCGCCGTAACCCCCCCCCCCCCCCAAAAAAAAAAAAAAAAGAAAAAAAATATTGTGTCGTTGCCGCTGCCGACAATGGTAATATTATAAAGACAAAGGTTTAAACTGACGAAGACGACTTTTTTTCATGTTCGCCATTCTCTCTTTACTTCAAATCATACTCAACACCCCAAAGGAAAATTTATATACACTTCAGAATCGAAGTCGAGTCGCCTGCATCCAACGGTCAATCACCTAACCTCTACACCATAAACGTCAGTTTTGGTAGCTTTCACATTTCAATAACTGAAACAATCTGAACGGGACTTTCTAACGCACGCTGACTATTGGAGCACTCTTAAAATTTCACCT